GTGGACCCAGCCAAGGTGCCCAGCAGGGTACATAGAACACAGGTTAGGTTTCAGCCCCTCAGCTGGGTGCCTAGGCTGTGAGTCATCTGTACCACCTGGGCAGCACTGGGAACAACTATGACTCCAGGCAGGGCCATGGCTCCTCCTGTGGGCAGCAAGAGGTCCTTTCCCTAATGTCCTACAGGAAAGGGATGTTCCATTCCCACAGGAAGAAACCAAATCAAACCAAGCTCACTTACATCGACTCAATACCAACTATTAGTAACCCTACATGACAAGGTAGAACTGCGCCCTGTGACTTTCCAAGATTTTAGGGGGGGTAAAAGCCTCCACTTTCTCTTGGAGTAGCTGGTGGATTTGAACTGCTCGTGGTGCGGTCAGCAGCCCGCCTCTAACCACTGTGCCAGCAGGGCTCCATGCTGGGAAGAAAGGCTTTGGTAATAAACTCTTTGCAGCACGATTCCCAGCTTCTTCTGGTTAAGAAACACACACCTTAGCTCCTTACTCAGCAGAGCCTGCAGTCCACGTTGCTGGCAGGGCATGTGGGGCTCTCTGAAATACAGTCCCAGCCTCCCTTTCTTCGCCAGGGAGGGGTTATTTTGCTTTGCAGGAGGGGTTATTTTGCTTTCCCTCAGTTCAGAGAGCCCTTCAGAGCTCAAACCCCCCCTGCCATCAAGTTGATTTTGACTCAGAGGGACCCTAGAAGACAGAGTGCAACTGCCCCTGGGGGTTTCTGAGGCTGCAAATATTTACAGCAGCGGAGAACTCATCTTTCTCCCATGGAGTGGCTGGTGAGTTCAAACTGTCCACCCTGTGGTTGTGGCCCAACGGATAATCCACTCTGTCAACAGGGCTCCTTACAAGTCCCTAAACCCACTGCCATCGAGTGGATTCAGATTCCCAGAGACCCTATGTATGGTTTCCAGGACTGTGAATCTTTAGGGGTGCAGATAGCCTCATCTTTCTCTGGTGGTGCCGTGCTGGTGCTTTGAACTGCTGAACTTGCCATTCGCCATCCAACACCTGACAGCACCACCAGGGTTCCTAGGATCTCTCACTCAAGCCAAATGCACTGCCATTGCGCCAATTCCAACTCATAGTGACCTTGAAGGACAGGGTAGAACTGCCTCCGTGGGTTTCTGAAGCAGTAATTTCTTCATAGGAGCAGAAAGCCTCCTCTTTCTTCCAGCTGGTGATTTTGAACTGCTAACCTCCAGATTAGTAGCCCAACCCATAGCCCACAACACCACCTGGGTACTGCAGACGGTTAATATTGGAGGTTTGAGTCTACCCAGAGGGGTCTCAGGTGGACAGCTACTTCGCCACAATCAGCAGCTGAAAGTCCTTTGGAGCACAGTTCTCCTCTGACACACAGGTAGTCGCCATGAGTCACAGTCGATGCTATTACAATGGATCTCAGAGTGCCCACCCATTGCCTGCTAATCTGTACGCCAAATCCCATCACAAACCCCACCTCCTCCCTGATGCCCCAGTCAACATGAATTACACTTCCTGGTGCTTCTCCCCACAGCCACCAAACTCTGCCTTCCAATTTGCTTCCACGTGGCTTCCCACGTGTTATTAGTATATAGCCCCAAGGTCAACAGTCTTCCAACCTATCCAGTCCTCGGTCTACACAGGCTTCTCTTCACTCACCCTTCCTCAACCCAGATGCGGAACCCAGCCCCCACCACCCCGGGGTTCCCCTAAGGTAATCCACTCACCAACCAATTGGTGAGCAATGGACTTTATAAGTGATTTGCCTCACAGAAAAGATGGGGGGCAGGGACTTTCACAAGCAATCCGTGTTCTCCACAGAGTTTCTCTCTCATCATCTCCCTGCAAGGTGCTCCCAGCAGTCTGGCCTCCGCGCTCTGCTGCTGCCTTCCCCAGTCCTCCCGACCAACTGGGGTTTCCTCCCTGCTCTCATAGGCAGAATCTTTCCATGCTGCCCCTTTCTCGATGTGCAAACTTGCACCTCAAGTCCATTGGGATGCCTGGCCAGACACAGGCTCTTCCTCACTCGAGCCTTTCTTAGAAGGAGGTAGCAAGAATGTTTTCCTGCTACATGCATGTGAGTCTGTTTGATTCCCCAGACCATGCAGGCAAGGAGAGTGTCTTCTGCATCCAGTCAACCTAGCACAGTGAAAATAGACACAGGTTCTCTTCTACCCATGAGGGACCTGGAATTTTTAACACTCTCCTGTAGTTTTATTTCTCTCTCATCCAAAGTACGTCCTAGGACTGGGAAGGTTACTGAAGTCTTTTAAAATGTACATCTAGCTGATTGCCAGCGAGTTGATTCTGAATCAGGGCTATGTGTGTCGAAGTCGAAATGTACTCCAGAGGGTTTTAGATGGCTGGCTTTCTAGGGGTCGATCACCACGTCTTTCTTCTAAGGCACCTCTGGGTAGCCTCAAAGCTCCAACATTTTAGGCTAGCAGCTGCACCCCATGACTGTTCGCATCGTGGGAACTTAATAATAAATCTTTGGGGAATGAATGAGTCACGAGTGAAAGGGAAGCAAGAAAAGATCACCGCGCCCCCGACGGAAAAAACCTGAGCATTCACCAGGATTGTGTTAGTCCGGTTGAAGGGCACGTTGAAGTGCAACCTGGAGACAGAGTGCAATGTGAACAGTGACTGGTAGACTGAAGCAGCTCTGCCTTCGTTGCCACATGGGACTGTGGGGAGGCTTCTGAACCTCAGTTCCGTGTGATCTGTCACATCAGCCTGTCTGCAGATGGCCCAATATGGACACTGACCATTAGGGTCTCAGGGCTATTTGACATTCATGCTTGAGGCTTCCAGACACCCAGGGCCCCTTGGCGCCTCTGCACTCCGCAGAAAGCTTTTCTTGGCTGTGGTCCTGGCCCAGGGACCTCCACTGCCTGCTGGCAGAAAAGAATTCTCAGCCGCAGAAACTGGTGAACGCCACATATTTTACAGATGAGTCCTGATGACCTTCAATGTAGTGCAAAATGGACAGAAGTCATCTTGTTGGTGTGACAGGCCTGGAATAGTGTCACATCACCCCTCCCATGTGGGCATGGAGAGAGAGAGGCAGCAACCAGTCACAGTGTCTAGGCCAAGGAGGTCCTCCAGCCATGCCGTCTGACCCTTTCCTTTGATTTGCTTCAAAGATGTGGTCTATCTGCTCTGAAGGAAAACGCTCACCCAAAGGCGATGGGGAGGGGCACGGACAACCCTCAAACCCTCAGTCCTGACACCTGACCAGCCAGTGTTCATCCCTGCCCCCACCCCCCCCCACCCCTACACCCACTCCAGTGCATCAGCCACCTGCCACCTGCAGCTGGGAGTCAGGGTCTTCAGAAATGGTCACCTGGCTAGGGGCTTTAAAGACTATACCTAAACCAAACCAGTTGCTTTAGCATCAACGCCAACACCGTGTGTGTGTGTGTGTGTGTGTGTGTGTGTGTGTGTGTGTGTGTGTGTAAAACTGCATGCCACAGCATTTTCAAGGGCGGATTTGTCTGAAGTAGATAGTCAGGCCTTTCTTCGGAAGGATCTTTGGGTGTATTTGAACAACCAACCTTTCCACCAACACTCTGCCTGTCAACTGTTTATTTGAGGGCTACACTATCGTGCCAGAGACTGACTTCCTAGGAAACAGAGATCTCCTCGGACTTTGTTGTTGTTTGTGGTTGTTACTGTTTTGTTTTCTGATTTGATGGGTGTAAGGCGGCTGAGCCCTAGGTGGAGACACGCTACGTTTATCCAACAGTTGTCTGCCCTCCAAGGAGTCCCTGTGAGGTCAGCTGACCCCAGGGACCCTCTGGAGTCCACCTCCGTCGTCACGTGCTCCCCTCCCTGACTCACCTCCAAGCCTGCAACTCCTCCTTCCCAGCTGGGGCCCCAAGGCCGCTGGCACCTGAGTCGCGTGGGCTCCGAGAGCGTGTGCGCGCGGGGTGTGCGTTTGTGTGCGCGCGCACGAGCGTGTGGCGGGGCG